TAGGACCTGCACTTGGCCTTGTTGAACTGCATGAGGTTGGCTTGGGCCCACCTCTCCAGCCTGTCCAGGTCCCTCTGGATGGCATCCCTCCCCTCCAGCATGTCTACCTCGCCAAACAGCTTGGTATCATCGGCAAACTCGCTGAGGCTGTGCTCGACCCCACTGTCCATGTCACCGACAAAGACGCTGAACAGTACAGGTCCCAGTACTGACCCCTGGGGAACGCTACTCATCACTTCTTTCCACTTGGACATTGAGCTGTTGACCACAACTCTTTGAGTGTGACCGTCCAGCCAGTTCTTCATCCACCGAGTGGTCCATTTGTCGAATCCATGTCTCTCCAATTTAGAGACCAGGATATCGTGTGGGACGGTGTCAAACACTTTGCACAAGTCCGGGTAGATGACATCAGTTAATCTTCCCTTGTCCACTCAGGTCACTCAGCTCGGTGCGTAAAATGATGGGAGGTGCAATGGGGTCCCCAACCACTGGAGACCATCTACAGATGGTCTGCAGTGCCCGCGCACGCCCGGACTGCCTGCGCGCAGCCCCAGGCACCCACGGGAGCGGGGCTGGCACGCTGGGAACAGGCGGGAGGAGCAGTTGCAGCATCCCAGGCACGAGCCAGAGGTTCCGTGGGCTGAAGCTCTCTGCAGAGGCAGGGCCAGGGGAAGCAGAGATCACTGCTCACGGGTGACAGCACTGCAACACGCTGTGCAGGATGCGGGCAAGCCAGGAGGAACACGGGCAACATGCAGCTGCCGGAGCAAGACTTCACCTAACCTACTCTCCTGCCTGTGAGAGGAGGTGGCAGCAGATATCTGGGGGAAGGAGCAAGGTTCCTTCTAACAGCCTGGAACAAATCACTTGCCTCGGGGAGGGGGATGTGGGGGGTGACTTCCCAAATCTGTTACAAGAGCTGGTTTGTACCTGAAGCAGAAGTTTTTATATGCTGGTGACTTCTGTCCTGCGCACGCCACTGCGGCAGTGCCCTCACCGACACGCACGCCCAAGAGCTGGCTCGAGGTCCCAGGGCAGCACGTGTGCCAGCTCCGCCAGGGACCAGGCAGACGT